GGAACATTCAGGATCCCAACTATAGCAATATCTGACAAATGTTATTTAGTGTCTTCCTTGACCTCAGTGTTATGTTGGGTATTTGCTAGAAACTAAAGAATTAAATGCAGTGCTGAGGAGATGGAGCTAAGTTGGTACCCAGGACCCACTGGACAGTCAACTTAGCTGTACTTGGCCCATGTCAGGTCACAGAGAGACCCTGTCTCAATAAACATGAATGGAGTCTGAAAAGTCATTCCTAAAGTTGTCCCCTACACACATGCATGCACACGAACACATGTGTGCACACACATAGTATGAGCTCAGACATGGGGTGGGACAATTGGGGGGGCTCCCACTGGGAAGAATGTAAATCCATGATTGGGAAACAGTACATTTATTTGAGAGGTAAGAGGGTAACTTAGAAACTGAATTAAAATCTTTCAAGACCGGTACGTGGTGTTGCCTGCAAGCCGGGGGTTAGAAAAAAGCAAGGAAGGAAGAGTCAATTTAGGACAGTGTGAATCTGGGAGGGATTCACAAGAGACAGGAACTGAAGTGTCATTATAGCATTGTATATTAAGGAAGACAACGGCATGGGGAAATGCTGCACAGAGAGGGAGGTGTGTGTTATTTCCAAACAGGTATGACACTATGGTAGCAGTTAGGAGACAATGATGGTCAGTCTGGAAAGGAAGGATAACGGCTCGAAAGCAACAGCAAGGCCGAATGTACAAGGCACAGAGCCGGGAAGGGGTCTATGAAGCAGGGAGGGATCTTAGGAATTAGCTATGGTTGGCAGTCAATCTGAGAGGGTAACAGCAATAAATGTCTTCTCCCTCCATTTTTCAGGAGTCTAGAAGAAGGCCTGGCACAAACCCTTCCTGCATGTGTGTTTGATGGAGAAGCTAACATCTTCCCAGCATGGTGCACAGATGCTAAGAAGAGAGGCGCTGAAGCCTGGTCAAGCCATGCAAAGATATCCAAGAAGGAAAGCGGGGAATATCCTGAGGATGCAGCTTAAGAAGTGGACATTCAGCTCCATCATGGCCCAACAAGAGGTCACGGTGAGAAGAAGAAACAGACAAACACAGTCTTGGAGGAGGAAGTAGAAGGAGACTCCAAGCAAGAAAACACATCCCTGCTTGCGGGATGTGAGGTGCTGACCCTGGGAAAGAGGGAACACTACTTGGGAACAAGGGTAGACACAGACACCTGAAGACCAAAGGGATGAAGAAGACAAGAGCAGTTTTTCTTCCCAAAGAACCTATTCCCTCAACAGAAGTCAGGTTCTAAGAAAAGGGATGAACAGAGAGCCCAAGCCTTCAGAGACAACCAGAATGCCTTCTCTCCAGCCTCTGGGACAGATCAGAAGCCTGACTCGGAAGATGACAGCAAGCCCAGATCTTCCAAGGAATGAGCTTACTACAGCCCACAAGGGTCACAAAGGTCACCCAGGGCCCAGTGTTGCTATGCACAAGTCACCATCTCCCTGGTGATCCATTTGGACAGGATCGATTCTGTCTCAGTCTGTAAGATATAGCCCAAGACCCTCAGCTGTGTGACAAGGAGGGCTATATCCATTTTCTAGTGCTTTTGAGAATCAGGGAATGTTTACACAAATAACAGAGCGCTTATTAGGCTCAGGCTGGGTACACAGGACCAGGTCGGTGCATCTTTATTCAGGTCTTTCGAAATCCCTGAAAGGCTGAATCAATTCCGAATGAAGACAATGTCAAATGCAGAGCATCTGCTGGAACAGAAGCGAGGGGATGCAAGCATCTGATAAGGGGTGGGTACCAGGTGATCTTTAAATATCCTTGCTGGCTGACATGTGATGAAAAATGCTGTGGACCAGATTAGAGACAGATAGGAAGTGAGAAGCAAGGAGCCAACCAGCATCCTAATTATTCTGGTCAGAAAGGTCCCATGTCTCATGGTAAACACAAGAATAAAGGGAGAAAAAAAAACACTCCACGCTTAACCCATTGCTGGGGAGACTGGGGAGTAATGCCTGCAACTTTAGGAAGCTCTTAAGTCCCTATAACCTCTTCTCAAGTGACACATGCTAAAATGGGACAAGGGAGGGACTTGGTGGGAGGAAGTCCGGGGATCCTCCTTATGAATAATTTGCTCTCTTAATTCCCTGCTTCCCACCTTTGAAAGGTGTGACCCCAATCTTACATACAGCACTGTAGACGTTCCTGTCTACTGATGTGTCAAAGCACATGTGGCTTTAACTGTTAGGGTAGCCTCTCACTGTATGTAGGGTTGTGTCATAGAGTTAGTTCCCTTGAAACCTTGGGAACGAGAGACCCTACTGTCTCTCAGCCGTCCTGTCCCTGCTTGTGCGAGCCACAGGAGAGTTGGCCAAATACAGTTGCAGTCCCTGCAAAACCACTTAATGTGTCGCACATGTTTTCTGAAACTAACTAGTTACCCACTGTCTATTGATAGGTCAAAATGAACTGCTGCATGAAAAAGATGCTTTTCCTACTGGCAAAGAGCTTGGACCATTGGAGTCAACCTGTGATTTTCCTCTGGTAAGGCTTTGTTTGTCCCCTCCAAATTCTAGTCTCTGCCAATAAGCCCAGAATCCCCACAAACCTCTGCTTGCTAACACAGAAGCAGCATGACTCCCTAGATGGCTGTGTTGGCTCATACACCAGACCAGTCTCCAGAAGGAAGGCTTTGCATGCTCCAGATCTCCTGGTGTGGTGGCTCCTTGGCTGCAGGATATGCAAGTGCATGCGTCTAGTCCCAGGACTTTCTCCACAGCTCTTGAGTTCCCATGGGACTAAGATCCTGATGTCTCAAAAGAAACCTGCCTTTCTTCCACATGACATATTCATATCCCTGTAGTGTGCAGATGGCATGGCACCCAAAGTTCCAAAGGACACATATGACCCTAGGATCAAAGACTCTGTACCAAGAGCCCAGAGCATCCGCTAAGAGCATGCAGTGATGTGCATCTGCCAAGATGTTGTACTTGAGAGTTTGCCTGGTCATTAAAGCTTGTTCACACTTCGGAAACCAGTGCCTCTGCATGAACATTTCCAGTGGAGGCTGAAGATGGCAATATTTGTGTGTGTCTATACATAGATGTGTATGTCCACTTTTAATTGGCATATGAAATTGCTTAGATTTATTAATGCAACATATTTTAAAATTATTGTTCCAATTTCCATACCATAAACAAGTGTACTCTTTTGAGTGGTCCATTCCAGACCACCTTATTTTTTTAAATTTGGTGCTTTTTGTGGATAACGTTGACCTAAAATGACTTCCAATCATAGCTCTGAAATACCATCCCATGATCCCAAACACAAGATAGTGGTCATAAGTCTTATAGAGAAGTATGTGTACAAGATGGGTGTTGATCAGTTGTTGAGTCATGTGTGAATGAGTCAGTCATACATGGTAACTATGGTTTGTTTTAACAGAATCACACATACCACATGAAAGGTTATGTACCGGTTAGTTGATAAAATATTGATTTCAAGCAGAGGCTCATAGAAACCTACCACTGTATTTTCTCTACGAGCAAGGCTTTGGGGTTTTCTAACTTACCATCCACAGGGACTTTATGGAAAAGAACTACCTCAAACACCAAGAAAAACATATATGTTCAAAACAGCAATGGCCAAAGAACACTGCAGAAGAGTGTCCTTCCTGGCTATACTGGCAGGGTGACAAGTCTAACCACAAACACTTAGCAGTTGGGCTGTTCTCTGCACAGTTTCACAGCGTAGATCTAAAATCTTATCTTTTCCCTCTGGTCAGCCTTGATCTAGAACCCAGGTATTCCTTAGATGACAATCACAGGAAGCCTCTGAAAGCCACTGGTGCAGATTCTACGTACGGAGGCAAATGATGGCCTGAGCTGGCACTAAACCAACCCTTAACACTGTGGTGACGCTTAGTGAAAAATATCTCAAAGCCAGAGAAGTGGAAGCAAAGGCTGATGGGATGACCCAAGACCTACTCTGCTGCTGGAAGCCCCAGCAGGAGCGGCAAGAGTTAGGAACTTTGAAGAGTGTGACCCAAGTATAGAGTGTTCACACCAGGGGAGGAGCAAGATCAGAACACACCTTTTCCTAGGCCTCTCCCAGATTGATTGAGCCATGAAAAGAACCCACTGCTGGGAATCCTGCGGACTGGAATGGGGCTCTCACAGCCTTTGGGATTCTGTCTGGATGGTGTGGCCTTTCCCTAACAGGTTACTCTGATCCCTTGCTGGTGTCCCTGCTCCCTACGGGCATCTCTGCACTCCCCTGAGAAGTAACTCATTCCCTAGGAGGCAGCAGCAGTGTGAAGGCGACGCTGTGCATTTATATTTCTGGACCCATTGAACCTGGGGGTGCAGTAAGGGGAACACTGTTGGCTGGAGGGACAGGACACCCCAGATTTCAGGAACTGAGAGGGAACCTAAGAGGGCTCAGGAGAAATACAAAGAGAGTGTCTGCAATCAACAGGAAGTGCCAGACGGGGAGGGGGGGGG